GGCCGGGCACGTCTTGGACTTTCATGTTTCAGAACATCAAAACTGTTTCCAATCCTCTAGTCGCCTTTCAAGTGCAGTTCTCAGTGTGTGGGTGCAGACAATTCACTACAGTGAGCCAATGAGGATAACACTAAAACTTCGAATCCTACGAGGCTAAATGCAGTTCCTGTTTCATCGAGCCCAGACAAATGTAGTTCTCTTTGTTGTTGAGACGTGAAACAGGAACAGAATTGTACAAAATGTATGTATGTATTAAATCTACCCTGTATTTCTTTTCCACAATTTTTTACATCGAGTTTCAGAAAAAAAAGATATATCTCTGCGTCCATTACTTTATCTGTATGGCCTCTTCTGACAACATACATTTCAGTAGGTATCATCAATTTTTTACAGAGTGATTTTCATGATTTTCAGGTGGTGGATAGTTCTTAGATCTAGTGAAAATGTAAGATTTTGGCCACATAGCAGCTAATCATATGAAACTACAGTTGCTTCATACAAGTCTAGTATAATAGTGGAGTTGGGTTTCTAATACCTTTAGTTGACAAGGATTTAAACACGTTACACGCACAGAATGAAGTGAAACAAAGAATGAGAGACATTTTTGTTCATGATTTCTCAGAAATTCAGAAATTAACTCTCTTGGCGTAAAAGAGAGTCAAGGAAATAAGCTACGAACTTACAGGAACTTTAAGAAACTTTAGCCATAGACGTGCAATGACTAAACTAAGAATTAGCGACCACCCAAAGGAAAAATTGAAACAGATAGATACACCTGAACTCCTCTTAATGACAGATTATGTACATTTTGTGATATGAATAGTATAGAAAACGAAGTCCACTCTATTGTAGAGTGTCCGCTGTATAGCGATTTACGATCTACCTTAGTTTGTTTATGAAATGCAAAATATATAAAAGAACAAAAATATATTATACATCTAACAAAGGATTACATGTTCTTACAAATAATGTCTTTAGTTAACTATGATGTATTAGAAAAACTCTGTAAATTCGTATACAAATGTCTAAAGAAGAGGGAAGAAACATGTACAGCTTAGTAATGCATTTAACCCAACTGGGGCATGAATGAGCAACAAGCTTCATTGTCATTTTCATTATAATATGCGTCTGCACGTACGTATACCTCTAACTTTGTGCCAAAAACCAGATGTGCCTCGCTCTCCATCTTTATTAGTACCCATCTTGACTGCAGTGATTTCAGTGAGAATGCTGACAAGTTACTGAACTCGTGCCGAAGGAGTCGAAGCAGATATCGCACAGAAAATCGTGCACTTATATTCAAATGAAGTCCATGTGGTGATCGTGCCGTATATATATGGAGGATATCATACATAGGCGTACGCTTAACAGACCAATATTAATCTTGAACATAAGCCTTGGCCTCAGCTGGCCTTAGCTGGGGAAGTTTCCAAGGACCCTTTCCACTTTTCTCACTTCCCACTTTGAATACAAGGCAACTGGATCTGATTAATGTATATGAATGATATCTACTTCAGATAGCACTGGTCTCGTACGTGATTTCTTTCAACACGGATATACCTTTGTTGTTGTTCCCTTCGTCTGAAGGATATGAAATCTGTTTGCTTTAGTGTGGGAGACTGGATTTAGCGGCATAACTCTGGAAGATATAGTTCGATGTTCATAATTTTTGGCAGGCAGGTTACGTACCGTTGGGGATGACAAAATCAAGTGCATAAACCAGGGCTTCGAATAAAAGACCTGTATGTTGTTTCACTGTGTTCTTTTATTCAGTTGTGTCCTTACATTTGTACATGTACGAGTATTTCCTTAGTGTATTCCAAATAAAGGCATCTTGTTTTTTTTCGGCCCTTCATGTTTTTATTGCGCTTTCACATTAAATTTAAGGTCTCCAGACTTTGTTCTTACATCTGCACCTTTTCACCATCACCATGGAGGTAAAAAAAATCACACGCCATCACAGAGAAGCAAGAAGTTGAATTTGGTGAATGTTAGCTTGATCATGTGTATATGATATGTGTATGTGTATATGTATGTTTATATCATACCCGGGCCGCGATAACGTTCGATAACGTTTCCCTGGCTTTCATAAAACGATTCGAACGCGTTTCGCCCTAACCGCGTGTGCCCCTTTCGAAAATTCGAATACAGAATCCGGACGTTGGAATTGATGTTGTTGCAGTTTAGGGTTCAGTGGCACCAACTTTTGGCTCATCTTGCATTGAAAGGCGTGTTTTCTTGGGTGGGTATGACATAAATAAAATACAACACGGTGTATTCCGCATCGCCCTCGGTCCCGGCCCTCCCGCGAGTCGGATCGCCCTCCGGCCTGCGGCCGTCGGGCGATCCGACCCGCGGTCGGGCCGATACCTCGGGCGATACGGAATACCCCGTGTTGTATTCTATATGTATAATACAAGCTTAGTACATGTATATCCTTTGTTGCGACCTGTACTTAACCTAGTGGAGATGTATGTACAATGAAGTTCATTCATTCATTCAAAAAAACAATGGATAAATCATATTAATGTAAACCTGTTACAGATGTTGTCATCACTGAATATTTCTAGTCCATGTTTTTTTAATCTTTATTGACTGGATATCTTGCTGAAGGTAAGAGTGGTAAACTGGAAGTGTTATCCAAGACAAAGGTAAGACCCAGAGAGTCTGTGTAAAAGACTTTATTTTCATTGTTGTATGGATAGAGATAGAAATGTATTTCTTTTGATAGACTGTCAATAGAACCCCCTGTAATGTTGAAGACTCATATTTCACAAATATCCTAGCAGTGTTAAATCATTACATTTGTCAAACCAACCAAGAGACTAATAATAGTGATTTTCATCAGAAATAATTATATGAAATATAATTTTGGTCCCACTAGCATTTGCATGCTTCATATCTATGTAATATTAAAAATCTTTCATATTAAACATGCCTCATTATTATAAAGTTACATTCTTGTTCATATAACATTATTTTTCCTGTTCATCAGTGTTGAAAATAGTATTTCAAAACTCACTTTGTTATACAGTACTACAGTTTGAATATAAAACAGAGATTTTGATTGTATCTCTATCATTGCACCACTTCAAGCACAATTGTGACAAGATGAGCCCTCTGTACAACATTTGTAGCCACCTAGTGGACTGCAAAGTGTACTCCTCTGGCCAGCTAACTTCCTTAAGAAATTATTCAGATTTGACCTAATCTAGTACTGTAATTCCTGATTTTTTTTTGCAAAAGTACTTTAATTTATACGTCGATGAAGGTTAGACATCCAGGTAATACGATATGCCAAAAAACAGTTACTCAAGCAACTGGATATGATTTTGAAAACGTCAGACGTTTCAGCTAGTATCCACTAGCTTTCGTCAGTGACTGAGAGACCAGAGGGGAAAGCAGGTTTATATACACAACCTGTTGATTGATATGCAAATAAAGTGAAGACAAATTTTTGGAAGTCGAAAAAGGAACAAAAGTCAGACAAGTCAAGACAAGATGATGCAAATTAGTCTGAAAGCTCCTGTTATACAGGACAGGAGCTTAAGTGTTGTCTGATACACTTGCAGATAGAACCAACCTATCCGTCGACCAAGTTTGTGAGCTACTAGAACTCTGCTTAGGATGCACATACTTTACCTACAAAGGACAGTTCTACCAACAAATGCACGGCTGTGCTATGGGATCACCAGTCTCACCTATTGTTGTAAACCTGTACATGGAGAAGTTTGAAAACAAAGCCCTCAGCACTTTCAATGACACTCCCCCGGCCAACTGGTTTCGATATGTAGATGACACTTGGTGCAGATTGAAAAAGAGGGTAGCTGCTGACTTCTTTGACCACATCAACCAGATAGATGACAACATCAAGTTCACACAGGAGCCAAGCCATGACAACATGCTCCCTTTCCTAGACACCAAAACTATCGTAGAGGAAGATGGTAACCTTCGTTTCGAAGTGTACAGGAAACCAACCCACACTGATCAGTACCTGGCCTTTGATTCCCACCACCCTTTGGAACACAAACTAGCAGTGATCAAAACTCTCTTCCATCGTGCAGACAACATTGTCACTTCAGACCAAGCCAAAACGGACGAACATAGACACCTCCGAGGTGCCCTGGCTAAGTGTGGCTACCAAAACTGGACTTTACAACAAAGCGCTCAAACCTTCAGATCAGTCTAAGAAAACCCAGAAGTGCAAACCTTTGACCAACAAAAACAAGGCCAACATCACTATTCCGTATGTCCAAGGAGTATCTGAGAAACTCCGACGGATCTTCCAAAACTTCAACATAGCCACTAACTTCAAACCTCACTCAACCCTCAGACAAAGACTGGTACACCCTAAGGACCGACCTCACAAGGGTACCAAGGCGAATGTTATTTACAGACTCAAATGTGAGGAGCCCAATTGTAACAACACCTACATCGGAGAAACAAGTCGACCGCTTAAAGTAAGGTACAAAGAACATTGCCGACCTAGTGCCAACGGCTACTCCTCAGCTATTTTCCACCACCTAAAACACAACCAGGGTCACTCTTTCAAACTCGAGTCCACGGATGTCTTAGACCGCGAAACACGCTGGTGGGAACGGGGTGTGAAAGAGGCAATACATGAAAGAATGTACAACCCACCCTCAACAGGGAAGGGGGGCTACGGGTCGATCTTTCCGGCACTTGGGATTTGGCACTCCCAACCCTGAGGACAGACAACACTTAAGCTCCTGTCCTGTATAACAGGAGCTTTCAGACTAATTTGCATCATCTTGTCTTGACTTGTCTGACTTTTGTTCCTTTTTCGACTTCCAAAAATTTGTCTTCACTTTATTTGCATATCAATCAACAGGTTGTGTATATAAACCTGCTTTCCCCTCTGGTCTCTCAGTCACTGACGAAAGCTAGTGGATACTAGCTGAAACGTCTGACGTTTTCAAAATCATATCCAGTTGCTTGAGTAACTGTTTTTTGGCATACTTTAATTTATGTTCATGGTTTTTGGGGTCAATTTTGTACCACAAACTTGTCATTACCATTAACATTTAATTTGCCGACTCTTTTTTCTGCACCTGTCACCATGTGACGGTGAACATATAGTTCCCTGAACACGTCCATTTACTGTGAACATTAAGTGAATTACAGTATTTTCCAGCAAATCATTGAAGTTTTGTAGAGAACACAACATCAGGGCCATCCATGAATAACAAGTAGTTCAGGTACATCTGGGTTTGGTTATTAATTAGGCAAGGCCCCAGCCTCCGTCAATTACAAGGTCCTGGCCTGTGGTGTATCCAGACTGAAAAATAAGACAGAAAAGACTGTCACAGTAGTATATTTTTGGTAAGATGAACAATTCTAGTCTAACCTTTCTGTCATGAATTGCAAAGGGTTAAATGAGATTCACATAATTGTATGGTGTATTTGAAGCACTATACAAAAGGAAACTTAAAGGAAAGTTATCTTGATCCAGTTATAGCTCACTGAAGGACTGTAACTCTTCTACTGGCAGTGACAAAGAAGACAGGCGCTATGCACAGCATTAAAGGTTCAATGTACTGGAGAAATCCCCCTAGCTCTTGTCAACAAGCACAATAAATGGTAGACTTAGATTATAAAGTTTCTACACAAGGCCTAAGGACTGCGACAGTAGCATGCATGTGGAGTGAGCAACAACAGCCTGGATTCAAACTATGAACTTGTTGATTTAGAGGTAGGGTCACTAACCACTGGACTACGCAGGCTACGCTATGGAAGTTATTAGTATTAGACCCCTTTCACATTCAAAAAATGGATCTGGATTGACTGTGGATCTGGATCAGAAATTCATCAATCCGGATGGACCTGTGTCCACTCGCCATTCCACTTGAGTGTAACGTTAGTAACTTGGGGGAAAACATGTTACTGCGTGTTTTCTATTCTTGATTGGCAATGTATATATCCATGGCATCACACAAGGTCCTTGTATAATGTATACTGCATATTGGACCCGATCAGTTGTAGTATTTTTGGTACATCACGTCACACCAGAAAAGCCAAGTCAAAAGCCAAGACACTTTGCGTTCACACTCGCGGTTATGTCTGATCCGGATCCTCTGCAAGTGTCTTGAGCTACCTCCTCAAGGTGGATTACTTTTGGATTCGGATCCAAGAAAATCAATCCAGATTGGAGCGTTCACACTGCAAAAAACGATCTGCTCATTGACGAATTTTGATCTGGACCGGATCAACGCTCTGGATCCATTTTTTGAATGTGAACGGGGTCTAAGAAACGGTTGACACCAAACTAATGTCTCACCTCATCCGATGCCAGGTACACGGCCAGGGCTGCGATCTCCTCAGGTTTCCCCACACGACCCATCTTCTGTCGAGCAATGAAGTCCGCACGAGCCTGGAACAACATGTGCACAACATGCACAGTGTTAGAACTACCCATCTGCAGTCTGCATTTTGCAGAGACATTTTCAATATTGCAGAAGAAAAATTAAGCAACTTGCAATTTTGCAGACTGAAAAAAATCAGGCTAGGGGCTCAATGATGTAGCCTGATTTTTTTTCAGGTGTTTACTACTGACTCTATGATATTCAAGTAAGTTTGCATGTACATGTATTTTTCAAATTGCATGTAAAATGCAATTTTGCATATGCCATGGGTTTAGATCTGGACTTATAATTCTGTATTTGCAGAAAGTACATGTATTTCTGAATTGCAGAACAAAATTGTCACATTTTGCAATATTGGAGAATACTGAAAAAAGGATTTCTATCACAGATGCAGTTGTGCTCTTTTAAAGTTCTACCCTTACATCAGTGTCAATAGCATCCAGAATAGTACAAGGTAAAACTTGGCAAAAACTTTGATTGAACCATGAAATATATGCACATGTAATCACTATGAATCATAACTGTATACTAAACTGAAATCGAAGAATTGCTGTCTTTACAAGGGAGAAAATACATGTAGCTCCCAACAGTTTTTTCTCACCATATTTATTGTTAAAAAATGAGACAGGATGTACAATAATAATAATATAATTATTATCTATTGTAAAGTTTACTGTTCTTCTTCAAATATATACTGGGTTGTTCTGGAATAAAAAAAAATTCACCTTGACAGGATCAGGGAAGGCGTTGATTCTCTCCTGCAGGGAGGGTGTTTCTACTGTAGCTGTTGTATATACAGTGTGAACATACAGCAGTTAGAAACACGTACTTCACACATTCACACTATGTCATGCCCCAACTCCATAGGCTACCTAGGTCAATATGTATGTAGCGCTTTAGAAAAGAGAGAAGGAATTGTGACAACAGAAATGTTTAGTGTTCATCATGTCAATACGTCATTTACATTATATTTATGTAGTTTAGTTTCCAGGAATAGACTAGTATGATTGTAAAGATCACATTGTCATCCTTGCCATACACTGTAATGTGTACAACTGTGGAGCAATAAAGATCATTCATTCATTCATTCACGTCATAAAATGTTTACAATTGTTTCTGTGCCATTGCAGCCCAAATATATATTGTTGGCTGATTTGTCTGCCTTTTCCAATACAACAGTTACTATTCTTCTAAGAAATATTCTTGCATGAAATCAGTCTGATTAAGATGAGTATTTGTACCTGGACAGATACAGTTACAGCGAATCCCCTTAGAGACAAAGTCTGCAGCAATGGCCTTGGTGAGTCCACTGACTCCTCCCTTACTGACAGAGTACACAAACCTCATGGGAACACCTGCAATAAACAGTCATGTCATAATATAACACAACCTACTGGTAAATGTGTAGATTGTATCACTATGATAGTGACCACATTGACTAACTTATTAATATAAGCACATTGAATGATATCACAAAACTACAGAGCATCTGAACATTCTGCTACTAAAGTCTGATGCTTACGGTACCTTACAATGAATGTAACTTTGATTCAGAAAAACCTCTGTGTTTCATATAGAAATAGAATCACTTGACACAAACTTTAAGACACTGTTTGCCAGTTTTAAACAGTCAGCTGAAGATAAGGTAAGCTCTTAAACTTCTGTACCAAAACTACCAAATTTATACTACAATACCCACCTTTAACATTTGAGGCACTAGAAGACATGTTGACGATAGACCCGGAACCTTGTGCCACCATCTACAATGAAAAGTCATTGAAAATCTCATACAGATAATAATGCAGATTATATAAAGTAATAGAGAACTCTCAAACTCACTGTTTTCAATTTATTTAAGGTGAATTTAGTGACCTTTAGTGTAATTTCCTGCATGATACACTCAGGAAGAACTTGCTCTACAAGTGTGGAATGGTATAACAGCCTGACACAGGAAGTACATGCTCTTCAGGTGTACTAACCTTTGGGAGGACAGCTTGACACAGGAAGTAGTTGCTCTTCTGGAGAACTAACCTTTGGGAGGACAGCTCGACACAGGAAGTACATGCTCTTCAGGTGTACTAACCTTTGGGAGGACAGCTCGACACAGGAAGTACATGCTCTTCAGGTGTACTAACCTTTGGGAGGACAGCTTGACACAGGAAGTAGTTGCTCTTCAGGTGCACTAACCTTTGGGAGGACAGCTTGACACAGGAAGTACTTCAGGTGTACCTTTGGGAGGACAGCTCGACACAGGAAGTACTTCAGGTGTACTGACCTTTGGGAGGACAGCTCGACACAGGAAGTACTTCAGGTGTACTGACCTTTGGGAGGACAGCTCGACACAGGAAGTACTTCAGGTGTACTGACCTTTGGGAGGACAGCTCGACACAGGAAGTACATGCTCTTCAGGTTGATATTCATGGTCTGGTCCCAGTCAGCCTCCTCACAGTCCAGGATGGTGCCATTGTGAACTATTCTAGAAGAAGTGCAAGGCTCGTAACTTCATTAAAACATGATGCACATGGAATGACTGATAACCCTTGTCCTGCTGGTATTTTTTTACGCAATATTTTCAAATAATTTGAAGTCTTAATTAGGTCACAGACTCTGGACTTTTTTTGCACTGCGGTGGCATATTTATTTCCGCATTTGTTGCATTTCACTGTGGTGTGAATTGCGTTGCACGAGAAACACTCCCAAATCATACATATACAGATGGGACTGTATGTGCAACCCATACATGGGCCCCGCAGGACAAGGGATAAGATTTGTATCACTAATATATATACTGCTACTAGTGCTAGTAGCAGAACATGTAAGACTCTATAAAAAGGCAATAGACATTATAGGACATTTCTGAACAAAGGCCTGAGATGGACAGACATGAAATTGTACCCTGCACAGTTGAATAGGATGTCCACACGGTCTAACTGGTCCACCAGTGCAGTCACCTGGTCCTTGTCTGCCACATTCAGCGTCTTGGCCTCAATTCCTGGGTAAAGAAACAGGATGTCTAATGTAATTGTGTATTTAACATGATTTCAGAACTATGTAAAGCTGGTGTGTTATGCCGAAAGGCGGTTATACCGGCTATACATGTACAGATACAGATACAGATGTAGAAACCTCCATAATATGGATTCTGGAATTTGGCGAAAAAGGGAATAATTAGGCAGAAGAGTCCGACTGCTGGATGTTTAACATCTCCTCCTCCAAAGTGGCCAATCAACCGCTTTGGTAGCCAAACTCCCTTGGAAAATTCTTATCCATTAGCCAGTGTGGTCAGTCTGGTAGAGACTTATAATCACGTAGGAACTTTCCCACTCTAAAACATATTTGAAGCACTAAATACTACATACATTTTGTATGTTATGCTAAAAACCTTTGAGATGAATATTCTTGTCCTTTACTTTATTATGACATAATTAACCCTCTTTAGTGATTTCTGTTGACATTATGTGAGAATGTCATTCATTCATTCATTCATTCATGTCACTCACTCACTCACTCACTCACTCACTCACTCACTCACTCACTCACTCACTCACTCACTCACTCATGCATTTAATTTTGTCACTCTGGTAAAAATTCTCTTACCTGGCACATCTTTGACCTCCTGCTCCAGTTTACTGATGTTGACATCCGTAGCAATCACTCTGGCTCCCTCCTTGGCAAATGCCTGCAGAAAGAAAGAAAGAACAATTTGGCATTATGCCATTGAGTACATTGCAACTGCATATATTTACAGTAAGGCAACATTGGGAAGGGGACTTTGGACTGATCATGACTTACGTTATTAAGAAAGCCAGATGTGATTAGTCAGAAACTTTGAGTTTTAATCTTTCCAAGTTACTTGGTGTCTCTAAGACCTATTCTGACCAATACTTAGTTATGGAATACTAGTACTTGACTACACTGCTTTATGGAAATCTTTTGACAATGTTCTAACGTTAGCGAAAATAAAAATTATGTTATATAAAACTATTACAAGCAGCTGTATGAACTGCCATTCCTTGTAAAATTACAACATGGGGTATTATGAAGCATGACTTGTGAAATACTACCTTAGAAGTACTTTACACTGACAAAACCTAACACATTCATACATGGCCCCTGGCCTTTGCCCTTTACCTGGTCCCCCTAGGGGGGCGTGGCAACCTTAGGTTATTGGGTCAACATGCCCTGAGGCGTTGCCAAAAATAACAGTCCCAGAACGTACTAGTTAGTATACAATGGAAAAGAAAACCCTAATAAATAACTAGTAACGTTACTATTGGTCCCAACGGCCACCATCTCTGGATAGACCGGTTGGGGCCAGGACAGAGTTCCGGGAAGTGATAATACTCACGGCCGCTGAACGTTGAACTGCAGGGGCTTGAAGAGGATAACGTACAATGTAAGTCCGAGAAACTTTCGCGTCAGGAAAACTTACCAGAACCGTTTCAAGTCCTATCCCTTGTGCAGACGCCGTACACAGCGCTACTTTCCCGTCCAGACGTCCCATGTTCCACAGTAGAAGTTTCACTCAGCTGTAAACAGATAGACTTCAACCTTTGTCCATATGATCAAGCAGGTCAAAGGCCGGCAATGTGATAAAAGGTAATGACGTACGGAGCAAAAGTGCCCCCTGTGAATTGTTGTCAGTACTGTAGTAATCTTACAACGTCCATGCAATTATCACTTCACCTGCTAGAGGTCCCCACTGCCACGTCGGTTGCACCAGCAGCATCTCAAGTACTAGTATTGGATATTTACAAGGGACCGTGGTTTAGTTGTGGTTATGAGTTTAAAGATTTACAGCTTATTATGACAATGTGTGGTGATAAAACTAAAAGAATAAAAAACATATCAGACGATTAACTTAACTGAATAAAAACAGTTATTGGATGTATCTGTATCGTTAGTTCCTTTGTTGTTTAGAGATGTTAACTTTCTGACAGTGTCAGTTCAAAAATCTACGACATTTGATATCCTTGCGGACGGTGACATACATACACGTACACTGTATGACCTTACAACTTATATAAACATTAATCCCAGCATATCTGCCCAGAATGTATTTTCGTGCAAGTCATTTTCGTTTGAAACATCTCACTGTGTAGTGAAAGCCATCTCTTTTTACGGGTAATCTCAACCACTTTGGTTACCTTGGTCACGTAAACACAATCCAGGAACCAACAACAATATGTATCATACTCTTTCCGCAAGAGTACATCCTTACAATGGAATATTTGATGAATTATTGAACTCCATTCCACCCAACTGATGTTAGGTTTTGTTGTAGAGCCTACCGGAATAAAGGAGCAACTAAAAAGCATTTGTGTGCACAACGCAAGCAAAACATCATTCACGAGAGAAATGTCAGGCTGTTTGTCACCCTTCTTGAGCATTGTGCGCCAAAGAACAGAAATTCCACTAGGATATACAGGGTCATTTCAGCGGGAGTGCTACCAAGGGAGCGGTCAAATTGTGTAACAAGGCGGGTCGACGCTGCAAGGAACACAACAGCGGCATCTGCGATATTCATTTAGTGGTGAGTTCACTTGAACTTTGCGTCAGCTGTTCAATTCTATCTGTGCCACTATTTTTGTAGTGAAGTACTTAATTGATAAACGTTGCTGGATGTCTAAAATGTCCAAATGAGACTAGTTCCATAGCATCATACAACGAAGGCCGTCGGCGGAAATATTTGAGCAAATATGAATCGCAAACATGTATCAATCTTTGAATTAGTATTTTCTAGGTCCTCGGGAGCAATAATAATTAATGCATTACCTTTGTTTATCAATGAAACACGGATGTTGGCGCATCCGTGCGGTCTAAAACTATCCAAGCAGAGGTTTAGGCTTCCTTTTTTTGGCGCGTTTTGTGGTATTAATATTTTTCATCGGGCTTTCTTTTTTTTGTACTGGTATCTTTTTGGTGAACCCAATAGGGGTGGCAAATGGTAACTATCTGGCAAATGGAAGCTAACTGGCCGGTTTGATACTATCTTTGCAGCCACCAAAATATCTACTTGGAGATTTAGACGAATCATCACGATTTTTATGTGTTCTTCTTTTCAGGAAAATGAAATCACAACTACATGTCTGCCTCACTATCATAGTAGCTTCCTTCTTCCCACCGTTGGCCATTTCGACGTAAGTATTAGTTTCTTTCCCTCCTGTCCCTGGTTCTGTTGATTATAATTGCATCAGATATATATTCACGGATTTGGTAAGGAAACGTAAAGATATGGAATATATTTACGTCGTATTTAAGCACTGAAAGGTGACGGAAAGGCGGAATTTGCCTTTCAGTGCCCTTTACGAAGTCGTAAAGTCAACTGAAATATTTCCCACCTTTAATACTTCTTTACATATTGCGGAAAGTTTGCTTAAATGTCTGTTTTCGCGCTGTGTATACTCGACATTGAATTCACAGCGCGAATATTTTATGTCAGTGTAAACGTTAACTGACAGTATCTGACAGTGTTTTTCGTTTGCAAGAAATGTATATAATTACTACGTATACAGTAGATACAAATCATCTCTCACAAGACACAAGTTTTCCTTCGACCTTTAACGTAAAATTTATTTATTTATTTATTTCATCATACAACGACTGCTTTGTACTGCCTATCAAGCTGGTAGAAGCTGCTTTCCAGTGAGGCCAAGCCGGGCAGTCGTATGGAGCGAAAATTATGATATAAGACAGCAAAATACAAAAAAAGTTTTAGAAAATTAACCACGAGCACTATTTGTGTGTACCTTTAATACAAATTGTTTATTTTTCGTTCACGCAAACAACCCGGCCGGGCCCAGGCTTGGAAATGTGACCGTGCCCTAAATCAAAGTCGTACTAGACGTGTGTTTATGGGAGATCATTTATGATTTTTTCCCAGTACCTCCACACCAGCTTCCCTCCCCGCTAGTACTAGTAGTAGCCAGACGACGCCGGTGGCTCAGGTCACCACAGCCGTAGGCGTGGCGCTCAACAACCTGACGGAGTGGGAACGATGGCAAGCCTTCAGGAACGGGCAGGGACTTCCCGGCAACTACAGCAAAACAGTCCGGCCAAACTCTGAAGGTACAGTACAGACTAAACTGCTTTGCGGGTAAAATGTGCACTTAGACTGGGTGCTAGACTGTTTCTCAGGGCCTGCATAGGCTAATTTCCCGGCACTGGGTACTAGACTGGGTGCTAGACTGTTTCCAGGGCCTGCATAGGCTAATTTCTCGGCACTGGGTACTAGACTGGGTGCTAGACTGTTTCCAGGGCCTGCAAAGGCCAATTTCCCGGCACTGGGTACTAGACTGGGTGCTAGACTTTTTCCAGAGCCTGTATAGGCCAATTTCTCGGCTCTAGGGCCATCATACCCCCAAGGAAATCATACCACAAACCCCCCAGTTAAGCCCTGATGGGAAAATTTTGTGTAACGGTCGCGTGTACTGGGGGGGGGGGGACAGGTGGGGTGTCCGGCATAGATATTGTCGGTCCAAAGTCGAAGAAAAAAGTAATTTCCCCCTGAACTTTTCCTCAGAATTATCAGAACAAAACTATTGTGACATCTAGAAGTAACATTTTTAGGCCCGTTTTAGCATTTTATGGGGAAATTTCTGAGTAGCGATCTGCCTCTGGACCTAGTCTGGCATCCAGGCTACGCGTGTCTATGACAATCGTCGAATTGAAATATCAACATGCAAACCATTAAAAACTTTCCTTAATTTTATGCGTTATTTTATACAAGCACTGATTATCACGCTATGAAAAATTATGTACCGTTCCACTATATTTCACATTTACCAAAGTCTTGAATAATAAATGCATCATCTGTAAGCCGCATTATTCACAGTTAATTGAGTTTCATCCACGTAGAAAAGAATGTTTAGACCTGGTTTTATAGCCGTAAGAGATCTCTTTGGGTGTCGTTAATAGTCCCCTTTTATGTTTTCAGATCGCTGGACAGACGTTTTGTGTGGGATTCGAATGAGCGACGTAGGGTCCTTGTCCCATACTACTATGGTGAGTGGGCGTGGTTTAACTTATCACAGCTAGTGGCACGCGATGGAATCAGAGTGTAGCGTAGTGTAACGTTTCTAAATTCCATTCACCAGTTTCCCATTTGCATAGGACATGAAGTTAAACAGCTTGTTTTTCACTGTGTTTTGAGGTGTTGGGGCATTTTATGCTCAACGTTAATTAAATTGCTATAGGTTGAATCTGACAACAAATAGAGAATGAATTTTTTTGAGTATGTGGTTTGTATGTGGTAACGCTATACTGATGCTGTAACGTTACAAACCACATGTTCCATGTTGAAAAGAACACAAAGACTTCAAATGTGTAACAACAAACGCAGAGACCAAGCGTTAGACGAACTATATAAATAGATATACATGTACTGTGAGTGCTAGTAAAATAAATGTAATAGTTTTAAAGCAGCTCACTATCTGCCGATGGGTCATGGGTCCATGCAAGAGTGCTGAGTTCGAATCCTGCCATGCCACCGATCTTGTGTCCTTGGGAAAGGTACTTTACACCACTTCCCTCACTTCACTTAGGAGAAAATTAGTATTGTCCTCTGCGTTGGCGGTGGTATAAAAATAAGTTGAAAACTTGAGTGTGCCCTCACTATGACTTGTCATAAATAATTTCCTTTCGTTGTTCTGTTAACTAGAAATTTGAAGCCAGCTTCGACTTGACTTTGGAGTGGCGCGATCCCCGCCTAGCGGGAATGGTGCAAAGTACAACCCCGATCCCCAGCACCATGTTGTGGACCCCGGCCCTCAGCTTCGGTAAGAAAGTCCAGGTTCTAACGGACGGAGGGGCGAGTAGCGAGGAGGAAGGAGTCATCACTGCATGGGTGATGCCTGACGGTACCATCGCGAACAAGAAAAGGTACGCTTATAGGCACAGGCCCGGTACTTCCTGTTTCTCATTTAGGTCATAGCAAGTAAATTTTATGGATGACATGCTTAGGCCACACCAAGTAAATTTTATGGATGACGTCCGCGCGCGCATTGATTTTGGCCTGTTCCTAGAAAAAAAAACAAGAATTTCCACTTCCTGTAACTATGAACAAAGAGTCACGACAGTGCCGCAAATCGTCAAATTGACGTGAAATCCGTAGCGCGAAAACAGGACAGGACGACAACTGCTGTTCCACCTGATTTATTGCTGTTTTGATGATGAATAAAAGACTTCTTGCTTGTTACACTGTGTCACCTCATTCAATTTGTGTCCTAACATTTGTCGTCTCTTAGGCCACACCAATTTAATGTCTTGGTTAACGGATTTTTATAGAAAAATAATGGAGCGGGCGGGCGAAAAAATAAAAATAAAAACAGGCCTAGGCATCGTATTATGGCCCAAAATGGTACGATAGGAGCCATGAAGTCAACACACCAGGCTCGTTCAAAATTTAAACAATGAATTTTGAACTTTTAATGATACCATTGCATTGAAAGATGGAATAACTGTAACAACTAGGATGAAAAGGTCTGTTTTCAACTGTTCAGGGCAAAATATGAGCATTTTGCAGTTGATTCTGGATTTTTATTTTTATTTGCAAATCAGAAAAAAATGAAGCGGCGAATCCGTTAACCAAGAAATTAAATTGGTGTGGCCTTAGTATATTTCTAATCTAGGCATCTTGTTTTTTAGGGCCCTTCTTGTTTTTTTCTCGCCCTCTCGCATTAGATTTAGGGTCTCCAAAGGACGTCATCCATGAAATTTACTTGGTGTGGCCTTATGGAAGATTCCTACATTTTCAAATTTTGACATCATAAACATTATTAAACAAGAAATGCTACCTATATTGTGCTAGATTTACTGCCGACTATTACAAAATTCATTTCTCGTTGAAACAACTTTGAAAGCAGTAGCTCGGCCGGGCTGTTTGCTTGAACAACAACAACAAAAATATTCGTATCAACAATATACACAAATAGTACTCATAATTAGTTGTCAAGAACTTTTTTGTTGTCTTTTATGTCATACTTTTCGTTCCTGAAAACTGCCCGACCGGGCCTCTGCGGGGCTGTTTGAATGAACGAAAAAATCAACAATTGTTATCAGGAATATAATACATGTATACACGAGTAGTACTCATGATTATCTTTTCAACTTTTTTTGTTGTTTTTGTTGTCTGTTATATAACTATAAAGCTGGCCGGTCGGGCACCAGTTTGGAAATATGACCTCAGCATTACTAAATACTAGTTTAATACTACCTTACAATTACCATTTTAAGCCCCGCCATTAAAAATATATAGGATGCATATGCTTTCATTGCTGTTCTCACCTCTTATCAATGACATGCACATGTACAATATACCTTTTACCATAGGTACGACGTGAAGATTAAATGTGCCATGGACCTGAAGGCCTATCCTGTGGACAACCAGCAGTGTAGTTTCCAGTTTCATGGACGTGAGAAATGATACCCAATCTCTTTTAATTCCACTCACATGGCGTTAATGTACACAGATCAAGGACATTATATATACACTAGATATACACTAGAATATAGAAACGTCCTAAGCACCAATCAACGTAACTGTTCACAAGCATAATGCTTAACATATGAAGCCAAACGAGAGACACATTCTTCACTAAGGCCACAGCAAGTACATTTTATGGATGGCATCCTCCCCAGACTCCAAATCTAATGCGATAGGGAAAAAAAGCAAGGCTAGCAAAATGGAAAAACAAACAAACAAGCAAGCAAGAAAGCAAACAAAAAGATGCCTACATTTTCAAATCTTTAGATCTTAAACCTTGTTAAAGAAGAATTGTGGCGACAAAACAAGATATCACTACCAATAGGTATTTAACGTTATTACCTAGCCTCCTTTATTCGCAGGCGTTTCGGGAGCGGTCGTTTTTTTTTGGGGGGGGGGGCGCTTATTTCCAAGTTGCACCAAGGAGGTTGGTTGTACTAACAACCATCGGAGAGGTTTATTCTATATGTACGTATGTACGAATGGTAATAGTGTGTGTGTTGTTTGTCCCAGTTAACGGCGCCCTGTTACGTCTGAAGCCGACGTTTGAGTGGCGGAGTGACGTGTCTCTCACCACCGACATCACGTCTGTCCACTCAGCCTTCAGCGTCATCAACGTACAGATCTCAGCCTTCGCTAACTCCTTCCTGGATGAGGCTGGAGGTAAGACTTTAAGATTATATATGGAACTTTATTGACACAACAAAAGTACAGTGACTTTCGTAAGACCTTTTAAAACTACATGTAGACATACAAACAGATACGTGGGTACAACAAAATTGACCTACGTCAATGGATGAATCAACTAATACTACTTGTTCTAAGGTCTAGACATTCTTTGATATATTTACCTATTTGTACACAGCAAGGGTTATTATATACCTTCTAGAATGAAATTGAATTTATCTATCGCATGAAATGTAACAAATTCCGTTGAGCAAGCAGAGAGCAGGCTGAACAGCTTTGTGCTTTCATATAGTGGACAATCCATAATAAAATGTTGTTCGTCTTCAATCTTATTAGGACAGAAAGGACAAAACCTTTGGTCACGGGGGATTTTTTTATATCTTCGTAATTCTATATTCAATTTGTGACTACACATTCTCATCTTTGTAATGCTATATATATGGCCTCCTTCGGTCAATGTTGACCATGGGACAAGTGTAAGGGTTAAAAACCCGTCCGAGGTGTATATGGTGTCATAAAGCCTGCTCATTTTCTATAACCACCGATTAAACCGCCGAGTGAGCGCAGGCCTAATATCTTCTGGAAGATTAAATTGCACAACCATTACAACATGCTCTCTTCACCAAGATGGCGGGCAAACTTAAAATGTAGTTAGATAGAGTCTGTTCTCTAACCCCTTTCATGTTCCACCATGTTCGAATTGACGTCATTCAAACTGAACAGAGCAGTCGACGCTGATTGGTCCCGGGGTTTAAGGGATTTATTCACCGCTGGGTAGGTTATGGCCCCGGTCATAACCAATAGGAAATGGGGACCTTTGATTATTCGTCATCTACCTATATGATAATGAGGATTCAGTAATAGACACTACATGTATGAAACTGTGATGTTTGGAGCTCGAGTAATGTGTGCTTGAAAATAAAATGCATCAGAGAAAAATATGTGTGTTTATTCGCTAATTCAGTAAAACCCTTTGACACTTAGAAGTTTTTGTGTGATTTCATGTCCATCAAAATATTACTTTTTCCCTATTTTTTTTTGTGACGTCTCAGGGAGGAGTCTAATGGTACAGTATTATGTGCAGTTTGCAAGAATTCTAGGAATGGTACAGGCACTTTGTCCACAGGAATGGAATGTCCACAGGCAGACCCATATCTATGCCCACATTCCTGGAAACCCTTGGGAAGACCTCTCTTCCCCAGGTGGCCCTACTTTCTGTGACCCCGGGGCTCGTTCACTATACACTCAGGGGAGGAGTGCACTGTATCTGTCTAGACTTAACAGGTACCAAGTCTTCCTCAAAATCATGAAATGATGGCAGTGCCATGCAAACAATAACCCTAACAGCAACCACCGTCGCCATGGCAATGTATGTTTTCATTGCCAGTCTTGTTCTAATCGTTCATACTAGGAAAGGGCTGCAGCTATCAGACGTCCGACTGTGAGTACGCTCAGGACGTGTGTGATTTTGAAGACAAGGGAAACAGCAAGTGCGAGCGGTACGAGGGATCCTGCAGAAACACGGTTCAGCAGTGCCAACTCATCTCCACTAAATGTAAGGCATATATGTGAGACGAAAGAAGGGAGAAAAAGTATGACGAAAATCTCGTTGCCCGTGTTAGTGAGATACTGCGAATCTCGTAAAGATGCACAAAATCCATTCTTTGAACACTCCTTTTCATACGTAAAGGTTCATTGTCTTTACTCGCGTGTGCATTTGGCATGCTTTAAGTTGTGTACAAAGATGATTTCGTACTGTCAACTGAAGGTGCAAAAATGCTTAAACCTGTCCACAAGACAAAATCTCTGCTTCGGTAGTGTGCCAATTTTCTTAATACACGTCATGTGATATAATTCTCAGGGGATTTGAGCTTATGCTTAATTTATATTAGTGAGGGTCGTTGCTTATATCATTAGTACATCGTGTACAACGTTAAATCTTGGAAAGAACCGTGAACTTTTAAGTTGACGTGACGTCGGACTGACCGATGGCTTCCATATGTTTGGGTAGGCATTCCTCCTAAGCTGCAAACCATGTTGATAAGGGTTCCTCCCCTGGGGCGTAGCCAAAAATGGTGAACATTATAGTGCATTATGCATAGATTTAGAACTGCATATGTATTTCATACGCATCTAACCTTGTCATAAATTGTGAAGACCTGGTATACATTGTATTTCCTCCCAGCGAGTCCCAACACCTACACCACCATTGAGATGACTCTGCAGATGTCCCGTCTGCGGAACTACCACCTGATGGAGATCTACATCCCCAGCATCACCATCGTCTGTCTGTCCTGGGTCGCCTTCTGGATCAACCGCGCTGCAGTACCGGCTCGCGTCGCTCTTGGCATCACTACCGTACTCACCATGGTCACACAGAGCACACGGGTCGTCGGTATGCCACAGGTAGGTCGACGCTAATTTCCGTCTCGTAAACGGTCGTTGGTGCTTCCAGAAAATTTTACCTCAAACCTTTAATATTATCTTCAATACCATACGTACCCGCTAACAGACCCATCATCGAACTTGACCTTTAAATTTCTCTTTGCGACCCCTACCCATCCACTAAATACGAAACTCCAGGTGATGCATTTTCAAAGTTGACCTTCGTTTCCGCAACCGCAACCCACCTACCAAAAATCATAAAGATCCATCTACAGCTTCTCGAATTATGCTGTTGACATGCAGACCTACAGACCCCAACAACAACCACTCCACCATGACACAACCACATATATTTACATATAAGATCACAAAACCCACTAATTATGCAGAATGTGGGACTATTCATTATCCACTGCCTTCAAAGAAGACGTCGAACCCCATAATAGCTAGCGTAGTAGTAGAAGTAGAAGTTTTTTCCAGACAATTGTTACCTGTCTCCTGTTACTGTATTGCAATGAGTATTATACTTGATTGTAAAAGCAATTAGCCTTCGGGCATGATTTTGCAAATAAAGTTTCTATATTATAAACTTCTTGGCGAAGGTAACTACAAAAATCTTACGTATACTTCCGTGTTTGCACATTAACTTTCCCGTGTCGTTATGTGTATGTTAGGTGTCGTACGTTCGCGCCATTGACGTGTGGGCCCTGTCCTGCCAGACGTTCGTGTTCCTGGCCCTGGTGGAGTACGCTCTCGTCAACTACCTGGGAGGCAACCAGAAACCAAAGGTCAGTAACACACTCGCCTGGGCTTCAATAGGACACAATAGAGTGTAAAGCCCCTGTCACACTTTCACGACGTTCCACCGAATTAGGTCCCGAACATCAGCCAACTAGGTTTGGTTGACGTTTAGGAGCCAGATTTCTATACGGTTTGAAAAGAATTCGAGTTGAATTTGAGTCAGATTTAACCACCAAACACTGATGACTTATTTCCGAATGGATGACCGGTGTTCTGCTGACTTACAGCTGAACACTAGCCAACCATATACGGTTGAACCTCCCGACCAGCCCTCAAATGTTTTCAACAATTTGAAACATTCATTCCGCTGGCGCAACAGAACAGTAGCCAACCCAACAGACTTTGCGCCGATCTACTCCTAACCATGGTTGGGGGACATTCGGCTAGTGTTCGGGAAGTTAAATTCGTCAATGTGTGACAGGAGCTTGGTAGAGTGTTCTTGGGTACCATAAGTGGTACCTAGGTCTGAATAGCGCGTTAAAACCAATTGGATTGAAGATTTAATGGGAGAATGGACCTGTAATACATCTCATTGCACAACGGTGCTTGAGTCCTCAATAGACTAGAAGAGACTAAGAGCGCTGAATTAGCTGACAGTGCCTGACGTCATAAGCCTGCTTTTGTGACGTACGTCACGCCTGCAATCAAATGTGCAAAGATTAAGTGTAACAAGTCGTTCGGTGTGATATAGCTAGCTGCCGCCGCGCCGCGTGCTTGCGAAGCTGGTGTGTTACGCCGAAGGGCGGTTATACCGGCTGTACCGATACAGATACAGATACGGTAGCAGTAATAGTAAATATGGATACAGGGATAACGCAAATATTCTCCATCTCTCATCTCTTTGCTTTGTTATTGAAAAACATACCGAAACTCATTATTATCCCCACTCAATTGTAAAGCTATGTTGTTTCAGCAATGTCCATTAGGATGTTTCATTCTCTACCTCTGTTTGTATTATGTTCAATAGTTGTTACCAAATGTATGTACGTTGTACCGTGTATACTTGTCGTACAATAAAGTTCTTCTTGTTTAAAGAAGTAGGTACATTTGGATCATCAATCCGCATCTTGGTGTATAAACGATAAGAAGAAATCAAATAAAACGATAAAAATAACATGACTTTCTATTTCCTATAACCAGGACAAGCCTCCGGCACCCCCTGCTCCTAAGAGGTCACAATCTAAAGACTCTGAGAAGATGAACAACTTGGACAAGAACATCTACCCGAACCTCAGTACCAAGGACGTCAACATCGATACAGGGGTAACCATACATGTACATGAAATAGGCTCAAATATGTAATCTGGATATATGACAGGTTTTGAAAAGTAAACATTCTATTTTCTACCATTTTTACGAAAAAAAAATGAATTTCAAAGTCTCATAACTTCTCGTAGAAATGACGTGTCGAAACAAAATTAACATTTTTGTAATTCGTGGTTCCTGTTTTATCAGTCCATGAACTTACATTGAAAAGTATCCATATTTCCATATTTGATTACTAGTATTTACCACTCCCCTTTGCATTAAAAGTGCAAAAGGACGCGGTCCATATGAGGTAAAAGTTCAAGGTTAGATAGCAAGGTCAAAGCTACCAATGTGCAACGGCCATCATATCAAAATATATTCCACAGACACCCTATAGCTACTTTTCAAAAACCATGATGAGAATTTGCCACCTCAGGTGGTACCGATATGTGAAATTTGGGGGTCTGGCCCATGGACTAGTAGGGGTATCAGTTAATTTCCTGTCACACATAGCCGGATATGGCCTCCCGATCCGAACACTGCCACGCTCCCCCCAAACATGGTTAGGAGTAGGTCGCGAGCAAGTTCGGCTGTGGTTGGTGGTGTTCAGGGAGTTCGGCTACTGTTCGGCTGCGCCAGGCCGATTGTTGAAAACATTCGGGAGTTGACGGAAAGTTGGATGGATGTTTGGCTAATGGTTAGCTGGCTAATTGTAAACATCATGCATTTGCTTATCAAATCTTACCTCTCCAGATTCTCTTGAACTTGCAAAAAAACTTTATTCATTTAAACGTCCCGATAACCTACAAAAATGTTGTAATATTGTTTCACTTATCTTGGTAGTATGATTTTATGTATCATGTATGTTATTACCTCCGGGGAAGGAGATATCCTTCCGCGAGGAGGTTTTACTATGGTTCGAAACATTTCTGTCAGCAGCTGTTTCTCGCGATCGGCTGGACGGATTGGTCTGTTGTTCGGTATACGTATTGCTATTGGGCTGCAGATGATGCAGAACGTTTTTGTTTAATTGCATATGTGTTTATGGGCGTCGAAATAAATTGTTTTTAAGTGCTCCGGACACCCCCGCCATGCTGAAAATGGAATTTACCATGTTGTTAAGGAATGGGGAGGTTGCAGTTTTGGGTCTTAGCATTTAAAAGGGGTCAAACAGAGGGGTGTCTGGTTCCGATAAAAAATTTAGGGTGACGGCGCAGCAATGACGGCGGGGGTAAGTGGCGCGGGTGACGGTGGCAGGCTGTCAGACACGTTAATCAACAGTCCATACCAAACCAACCGTCAGTAGCCATCAAACACATACAAACATATTACGCACATAACTTTCATACTACACACAAACAAATAACCTAAACCAATAGAATACAAAAAAACCCGGAGGTTTGAAATCTACGATTTTCCTTGTTATAGAATTTAATTACAATGTTAAGGTAAATTTCTTTTCGTGTCAAATGTGTGTTTTTAAGACTAGCCAATTTTGGCTAAAGTTTATCGAAATGAAGACAAAGACAACTTGGAATGCTGAATACTTAAAAATTTACTGGCAATTTCGAGAAAAAATGTAACCCGTAATGTATATTAGACATATCTTTTGGAAAACTCGTTTACATGCATTCTTATCTCTATAATCTCTGTGTAAGTAACCACTTACATTTTTCCGATATAGCCAAAATTCACGGAAAATGGAAAAGAAATTTTGTGGAGGTGCAAAAGCGGAACAACAAGACCGAGCTACGGGTAGCCGAACTGGGAAACGTTAGTAATTTTATCAACAGAAACTTTCCATCGACTGGATATGTAGTTTTAGTAGTTGTGTGTGTGTGTAGTTGTAATATGTACCTAC